ACCGAAAAACGTAAGTAACAACATAGCACTTGTTTAGTACTTAGTATACTATTTTCTTCTTATATATATATATATATATATATATATATATATATATCTTGAGGTCGAGATGATCAATTTGAGGATTTTTGGGCTTTAAAACAACATCTTTCAACGAATTTTTGAAGTGCGCCCTAAATCGATTGTTTAGTGCCTTGGCCTTATATAAACATGTTTATTTTTAATTGTAACAAGTACGATAGACCATTCACGTTTGTTACAAATAGGTCACAAATACTCCAACCCATCTTATTTTCAATTGGGCAACTTGAGTTGTTTCACAAAGTTTGTGAATTTGTTTTTTGAAATTTGAACTTAGTCAATGATTCTCATCTATAGTGCTCCAACTATTTGTTTATCACACTTAAAATGCTCTTAATTTAGATTTCAAATTATGTTCTATGGGTCCAACCCAAATGATCACCTATTTTTCAGTTATAATGAGATCATTTATCTTTAGTATAAGATGGTCACAATTAATCTTGATCATTGGATGTGAAATTGAGTGGTTGCATTTACTTCATTTATTAAGCTCAAAGTTCAAAAAAAACTTTTTCGAATTTTGTGATACACCCAAGCTTTCAGATTTCATATCAGATAGTTGTAAATAATTATGATATTCTTGTATCAAAGGCAAAAGGGCTCATTGTATTTCATCTAAAAATTGAATTCCACCCAAAAAAAACCTGAAGTAAAAAACAAGGAGTGATAGTTAGCGGCACTCTTATTAGAGAGCGAGAGAGAGAACTTTTATCTAGAATGTGTCATTCTTTTAAATGGTTGAGGATGTGTCATTCTTTAGGTATACAGTCTAAAACAAAAATCTTCAAATGTTGTAATACTCTTTTATTGATTGGATTTCACATCCAATAGATAAAAGTCATGGTGACCTCCTAGTATAAAAATAATAATAAACGGTCTCAAGTATACAATCCCAATGAGCCAGAGAGGGGTGGACTGGAGGTTGCCTAAATTATTTGGGTATTTTCTAGTGGGTGGTCATTTTTTGGTGGGTGTTAAATCTCCCTAATTTTCAGCTCTTAATGCATTTGCCAGCACTACTTCAATAGAGAGAGAGAGAGATCCATTAGTTTATTATTTTTTATGCATTTGATACAGCTGCTCCAGATGAGAGAGGAGGGTTGGGAAAGGGCCATGAGAGAGACAGAGAGAGAGAGTTCAAATGGGGGAGGTGGGTGTTGAGGAGGTTGGGGAAACAGCCTGGCCACAAGAAAATGTTTAAAAGTGATTCCACCATGTTCATCATATTTTTAAGGGAACAGTATTTATTATAATATGACTACTCGGCAACACCTTTTCTTTTTGTGTGATATTTTGAATGAAAGAGCTTTCAATGTTGTGTTTGAAATAGTTTTATAAATGGGACATGTTTGTAAATTAAAATAGCATATTCTAGTGTTCTAAAACCCAGAATCGTATATTGAATTGCCCACTCGTTGTATCAATATGGATCGGTAGGATTGGCAACTTTGATCACCCGTCTAGCGAATTCAATTTGGATCGACGATTCCTTATCCAGATTAACGAGTTTTATAACCTGATATTTTCAATGATATATATAGACTTTTATAATTGAGGCATCCATAATTGAGGAGGGGATACTTGCATGTTCATACAGCACAACCCATGTGACTGGAGGAGCCAAATGCTAGTATCCAACCAATTCTCATCATTGTCGAGGGCACAAAACTTAGGGGTGGCAATAGACCCTGATGTGACACAAGACTCGAGAGGTAAACCCAATTTGAGTCCGAGTATAGGTTAAAAATTTGGACCCGTTGGGTCGGGTTTGGATTCAAAACTTGGAATTGAACTTTATTCGGATCTGATAGGGTAAAGTTGAGGTCCCGGTCTGAGTCCCACACTATTTTTCAATTCCTAAGTCCAGCCGCAGCTGATCCGTTGCCACCCCTAACAAAACTTGTTTCTGCCTTGCCAAGAAATTTGCATAATTTATTAACGCAAATGTCCGGTGCAAAACGGACAAATTTCATCTCACCAATTCGAACATGTCAGCCACTATACATAGCATTTTTCAGTGGGGTGGTGCCCCACCTCATTACTCTACTTTCTTTATATTTTTTTGCCACTATCCTTTCGAATCTTTTGTTAAAATATTAAATATATCAAAAACAATCCATTCAAAGTTGTTTAATGTTTACATTGGAAGCCAATAGAAAACAAAGCCAACTTCAATATCTTTGTCAATCTAGATAAAGGAAATAATTTTTATATGATATTAATTTTATATGATAAATCTTATTGGAAAATGTCATTTTGATGTTGGAAAATTCTCAAATCGATGATCTCATCTAATCTCATCCTCATATGTGAAAAGAAAAAAAAAAAAACAAAAAATTTATAAGTCTTAAAAGTAGTGCACATTACTAGATCTAGTCGACTTCAAATAGTTGGATAAGACTTAGAATATAATATAGATCTGCGTGATCGATATTATTTTTGAAGCTTTAAATTTCGTATTAGGATGAAAAATGGGTCTTCAAACTACATTAAGAGTTTTCGATAAACTGCATCTTGAGATAATGATTAGATATGTATTAATTTAATTATTTAAAGCATAGTTATCAAAGCCTCCGATCTAAAGTACAAACTTAATTTAATAACAAACCAATCAATCAGTGTTTAACTAGTTTCAGTCCGATTGATTTGGATCGGTTCAACTTTTTTTTACATTTTTAAATGAGTCAGATTGATTTGGAGTGGTTCGACTTTTTTTACATTATTAAATGGGTTATGTTAGAGTGTTTACAGCGGAGTATTTTATTATTGTACTCAACAAAATTTGAACACATATATACCGGTATATAGTTTTTTTTAGTAAGGGCATTTTTTATAATTAGGAGAGGTGTAACGTCATTTATATGAGTGTGATATCACTCACATGGAGCACACTAGTGACATTTAATGCTTCATATGGGTGATGGCACACTCTATGTGGATGCCATTTATAGATAATGTCACATCTTATGTAAATAACTCACACCCTTATTAATGATAAAAAATATTTTTTTTAAAAAAATGATATGGGTGTGACACCACTCACATGGAGCACATTAGTGACATTTAATGCTCCATGTGGGTGATATCCCACCCCATGTAGATGGCATTTATAAATAATGTCACATCCTATGTAAATAACTCACACGCCCGTTAATGATAAAAAATATCTTTTTTGAAAAAATGATTCGAGCATAAAACAAGGATATAAAAATATTCAAAATTATTGAATACAATAATAAAGTACTCACTAATATAAAATTTTTTAAATTAGTATTTATATTATTTTATATTTAAAAATTCAATCAAATTGATTCGTCCATTTAGACAGACCAAACCCTTCATCAATTCGATAATTTGATCTATACAACCATTGTTTAGAGGTGTTACCATTCCTCCTTATGCCCCAAACAGCCGAGGAGTAAAAGAAGAAAGAAAAGTACATGTGGCAACATCTCATTCGCAAAAGAATGCGAGTGCGTTACCACGTGGCATCCAATCCAGTCGCCACCGTATTCACCGTCATCGACCAAGTGGCACTGCACCGTCAAAGACCCGGCACGCGAGTCAATGGCGGTTCAGTGTAGGCAATGCGAAGGTGCCATGTGGCACGCTGTGGAAACCTAAACATCTCCCTAAGCCTCATATAATTCACTGAAAACTTGCTTTCACGGATGGAGCAGAGATCTCATTTGATCAAACGTCTAGGGTTTCGGGTTTCCATTTTTGGCAAATTTTGAGAGGGAGAGGTATCCATGATCGATGATTGGGTGAAAGGCGCTACCTTTTCCAGAACCCCTACAAAAATTGTGGAGAATTTGGGTACTTATTGATATTTCGACATTGTTTTGCTTTAAACCCATAGAAATATGCAAGTCTGAGAAGGTTTCCGTCACTGGAAGTTGATTTTGTATCGGAGCCAGGTGAAAAGGTTAGTTTTTTCAGTATCTTTCTTGATTGATGGATCTTTTACTGTGCTTTCCTGGTGATTGATGGATATGGCTGTTAAGACTATTGGCAATGAACTCTTTCTTTTTAGTTTTTCTTCATTTTGCTTTTGGAGCTGATTTTGTTTGGAAGTGAAATTTCTTTTGGTGATCTAGAAAGAGGACTACTGCACAGTGACTTTTTTTTTGTTTTTAATGCAAAATGTGATGATCACATATGCTAATGAGCTGGTTTTCCTTCGAAATGACTGAAATTACAGATTGAGGGGAAGTTTGTTGAAATATGATCATTTTCAGCTGCTCATTTGTAAAACGCTACTGATTAAATCAAGGCTCTGTATATTTGTCCTAGATCTATCATGAACAATTCACTTTTCTTTAAGTGGAGAATTGGTTGCTTTTAAGTATTGATTAGCAGATACCGTGAAAGGGTTTGCTTTCCGAGGGAAAATGACGATAAGCTTGTTGCAACTTTGCGAGCTATGAGGGTTGATTGATTTATGGTTCACTTTTCCAAATTTTGTCTAAATCAATAGTTCAAAGCCATTTGCTGAATAAATAATTTTAGTTGGTCAAGACCAATATTATTGCCCTTCTCTATCTCATTGATTTGTAACAAGAAAAACAATAATCCAAAGAATGCCTGATCTAGCTAAATTCAAACATGGAAAGACATCCCAAATGACCTGGCTTTAATTTTGGAAAATTTGAGCATTAGGCAGATTAGCAGAGATTGAAGCTAGAAAGAAGGAACTGAAATCTGAAGCTTGGCCAATTGATACTACCCAATTTTTCAGCAGTTGGTTTATGTTATGAGTAGAAAAAATGATCTCTTGACCTAACATCACGAGGAATTTGCTTCAAATCTTTCCTAATTGGTATAAATTATATGCATGATGGTTGGTAATGACATATCAAACATGGGCTTCCGTTGATATTATCCCACTCTCAGAAGTTTTACTTCTTTGTTCATTTTCTTCTCTCCTCTCTTCCCCTCCACCCCATCTATAAGTTCCATTGATGCCTCTGTATAATTAATTGTTGTTACATATTTTCCAGTGGGGTCTAGTGGTAAACTAATTAATCATCACTAGGAGTGTGATTCGAGATTAAAATTTGAAGATCAGTACCTGCCGTTATTCATGTTGATTTTGCAGCTGACACTGGGGAAATAATACAAATGAAATACAAAAACTGCCTTATTATCGCCAAACACCATTGTTAGCTTGTGCTTTTAATGAATAGAGCTGTTTTTCATGATAGAGGAACTGTTTATGGGTTTTGTCTAGCTTTTTGTTTTTTTGGATGCAGTTGTTTAGAAGGATACAGATGTCCTCATTGCAATATATTATTTATGTGTTCTCATTGTGGTTTGGAAAACCAGTTTGGCCTTCGGTGAACGCGAATTGTCTCATAAATTCTGTTGAGCAGTTTCTATATGAAAGAAAAGATAAAGATCAAGGTTGAGAAGGAAGAAAAGGAAGATAAGGAAGAGCTGCATATCAAAGTCGAGAGTAAAGAAGTAGAGCCCAAGATGGACAAGGTAGAGGAGAAGGAAAGTGAACTAGAAATTAAGACCAAGTGTGTGGAGAAAGACAAGGAAGAGTATAATGAGGGTGGGGATGGTAAATCCAAAGAAAAGAACGAGAAACACAAGAAGGAAAAAGATCGGTTAAAGGAGAAGGAAGATGGAAATGTGAAGGAAAAAAAAGAGGACAAGGAAGAGAAGAAAAAGAAACAGAAGAAGGACAAGGATGACGAGGCCGAGGAGGAGCAAGGTGATATGGAGGGGAAGGAAAAAAACAAAAAGAAAGACAAGAAGAAGGATAAAAATCTAGAGAATGAACATAAGGAGTTGAAGGAAAAGAAAAAAGAGAAAGATAAGGAGAAGGATAAAAATGAAGAGAAGGAAGAGAAGAAAAAGAAACTCGAGAAGAATGATAGAGATGAGGAGTTGAAGGGAGAGGAAGGCGAAATAGAGGGTAAAGAAAAGAAAGAGAAAGACAAGAAGGATAGGGATGAACAAAAAGAAGCTAAGAAGAGTCAAGAATTATCGAAGGAAGAAGATGAAGCGAAGGGGCATGAAAAGGAAAAAGAGAAAGACAAGAAGGTAAAAGATGAAGAGAAGGATGAGAAGAAAGAGAAAGTCGAGAAGCTAAAAGATGAAGAGAAGGAAGAAAAGAAAGAGAAAGGCTATAAAGGAAAAGATAATGAGAAAGAAGAGAAGAAAGAGAAAAAGAAGGCAGCTAAAGAAGGAGAGCAGGAAGAAATGGCCAAAATCGATAATGATGAAAAGAAGAAAGAGAAAGATAAGAAGAAAGATAAGGATGAAAAGAAAGAAGAAAAGAAGGAGAAACACAAAAAGAATGATACAGATGGGAAGGAGAAGGAAGATGAAGGGGAGTCTGATAATAAGAACAAAGAGAAAGACAAGAAGAACAAGAAAGATGAGGATGAAGACATAGCAAGGGAGGGGAAGATGAAAGTGAAAGGCAAGAAGAAAGGGAAAGATGAGGAACCAAAAGAAGAAAAACACCAACCAGAGAAGAAGGAAGAGGAAAAGAATGGAGATGGAGACAGGCAATTAAAGGTAAATGTCGATGAAGCAGATGGGAAATATGAGAATAAACTCAAGGAGAGTAAACCCAAGAACAAAGATGCGGAGCACATAGAGAAGAAGAAAGAGAAAGACACAGATAAGGACTCAAAATTGAAGGAAGATGAAGATGAAGATGAAGAAAAGGACAAGGAGGAAAAGAAGGAGAAGAGGGAGAAGGAAAAAGACAAAGATGAGAAATCAGAGAAGAAGAAGAAGAAAAAGGATAAAGATGGTGAATGCAATAAAACTGTAGAAGGAAAGAAGAAAGAGAAGGATAAGGAAGGTAAGGAGAAGGATGAGAAGAAGAGGAAGAAGAAAGATGGGAAAGAGAAGACTAAGGATGTTGGGAAATTGAAGCTGAAGCTAGAGAAAATCGATACCAAAGTGGATGCTTTGTTGTCTGAAAAAGCAGAAATCTTGAGAATAATCAAAGAAGCCGAGGAAAACAATAGTGTGACCCAAGAAGCCAAAGTGGAAGTAAAGACTGATATGGCTAAGTGAGTCGCCAGATCAAATATACAGCCAAAAACTGTAGTCGCAAAGTGCTGATGAGTTTAGAAAAGGAAGTGTGAAGTTAATATCTAGATGTTGTAAGATATGACTTAAGATACAGAATTCCCATGGGTGTTCAACAGGCTTGTGTCATGAGCAATTCATTGCTCATAATAATGGTTTTTCAATAGGTTTTATCATGAGCAATTCATTGCTCAGAATAATGATTTGGACTTTTGAGAGTATGATCTGGCAGTTCCTAGGACTCTCTGTGCATCTAGCATCTCTCTCTCTCTCTCTCTCTCTCTGCAGTTTGCTTATTATCAACATTGGATTTGAAAATGGGTACTGTAAGTACAACTTGAGAAAAGCCAAAGTTATAAAAAGGGGGAATTCTTGGGTAACTATGGCCAACTTCCAAATTGTTGGTTTTTGTGTAGTTTTTGACGATGTAGAAGGGATGGCCTAGATTTACTTATATCATACTTCCTTGAACCAAAGGAAAACATTGCTTCCATTTGATTACAATACATAAAAATAGCCAAAAGATTGTGTGCTGGTTATATGCTTCCATCCCCGGGTAATACCTCATTAAAGAGTCCTTTTCGGACCCCAGATTTTGGGATATAAGCAGCTCAAATTAATAAACAATCTCGAAAATGGAAAAAAAAAAATGTATTCTTGTGGATGAAATCAATAATGTCCCAAGGTTGAACAAAGACTATCAATTTTTGGACCCTTAGATCTAAGGGTAAGAACAAAATCCGATTTTCTTTTTTGACAATACCCATTTGTGATTCTAAAAGTGGGTTTCAAATCCTAAAGAGGTTCTTTGCTCAAGCAAGAAAGTGTATAATGTGCTGCCATGGGGTACGCCGCAAGCATTCTTAAATAACAATACACAGTCAATGACTTAAGAGAATGCGAACTTGCTTGAAATACTGAGTCACTGACGAAGAGAACACCAAGAAAACTGCTCAAATTTGAAGGGAAGCCATACATGAATCTCGATGAAACTGTGCCCGTAAACTTCATCCAAGAAAAAAGGAAAAAATAAAAAAAATTGTAATTGTTAAATAAACAACGGTAAATTCCTAGTTTACGTATGTAATACACTCCAATGAGGTCGGAAGATTCAGCAAAGAACCCCTCGCTAGTAAGCATGTGTTTGACATTCAATCTAAAGACTGCCAAATTTTGTTGCTTCAGACTGTCAAAAGTTGTAGAATCGCTACTGAATCTCAACTGCTCTTTTTGTTTTGTGGGTGTCTGAGTGAGAGAGAGAGAGAGAGAGAGAGAGGACTGACAGAAAAGACTGTTATTTCTTAGTAAAAGCATATACTCTTATTTCTTAGTAGAAGTCTGTAAATATGCCCTTTTCTCTGCATTCATGCTGCTGAAGGATTATTTGGATCCCACCATAGAAAAAGGAAACCTTCACTTGCCAATAATAAATCAAAAGCAAAAAATAAAGACACCCCTTTTACAGAGAGAGAGAGAAGCGAGAGGAGGCCCATTGCGAGTAAATAACGACATTGTCTTTGAATTGGGAAGACGTGTCAGAAAGAAACGGAAAAGCAGTACAATGGTTCACATTGTTTTCTTACAATCCCAAATTAATTATCACAACACATCCATATTGTTTATATATTAGCTGCTCAAATATGAGGGAATACTGTGAATAAATAATAATAAATGCAACAACAGAAACATGGTCATAAAGTAAAATATGGCATCACCCCTCATCGCCTTTCCAACAACACCAGAGTGGACCAACCTACACATATGACATGAAACATCACAATAAGCAACCCGCATAAACCAAACCACCAAACCAAAAAAAAGTTTTGGGCAATCTCATGAAGAACCAAAACAACAAACTCATAATCCTTTTAATCCTCTTAATCCAATCAATTTTTAACCAAATAAAGCTGTAAAACAAATTTGCTTTTCCATTCCTGTCTGAAAGTTCAGAAGCAATGCCCCGTATCGAAGTTGATCAAATTTCTAGCCTAAATAATCCCAACCCAAAAAATAAGGAAGTAAAAGAATGCAATCCTTGACTAAATCAAGAAAGAGAGCTCCTACGATGCATCCGAGATATCAGTGGTGAGACTGAAACCGAAGGGAAAGAGTGGGTCATAATGCTTGTCTCCAACATTCATAGGAAGCTGATTCACCGATTTGAACCATGTTCGAGGAAGCTTGCCTGAAAATGGATAGAACCCAAAGAGCACATCGGCCAAACCTTGGCCTTCAGTTCCCGGAAGCCATGCAGCCACCAATGCATCCATATATGGCACGTATGGCTCCAAGACTATGGGTCTTCCTGATACCACAACAACTACACACTTCATAGAAGCACAAACATTTTTTATGATGGTTGGGCCTGGCTCTATCATCGTTAGGGTGGTGCTATCACCATCAAACTCGGCATAGGGCAGCTCACCCACCACTACGATTCCATAGGAGTAGTCATTTGCCTTGAGAGAGGACGGATCAGGGTTCTCTTGGTAGACCACCTCCGTATGGGGGTCCACTGTAGATCGAATGGCGCTAAGAATCGTCGTTCCTGAGACCAAAATACAAAGAAAGGAACTCTCACTCATTCTTTCAATAAATTATGATTCATTAAAGAATGATCCATGCAACTAGTAATGCTAATATCTCTCTCTTGGTTTTTTGATAAATTGTGTTTCACTGAGCACTATTGTACACGTCTGCTTGCACCAATGATCTATTGCTGAATACATTGAGAGAGAGAGAGAGAGAGAGAGAGAGATTACCTATTGTGGTATTTCCACTTCCTCCCTGCCATGTAATAGTCCATCCACCACATTGGTAACCCAAATTATCAGCATGAGTTCCTGCAACAAGAATCTTGGGAGCTTTTTTATCAACAGGCAACAATGGCTTGTCACCATCCTTCCCATTCTTCAGTAGAACAAGAGATTTCCTCACCGCTTCTCTAGCCAATTCTCTATGCTTCTGCTCAAATGAAAACACAACCTTTTCAGCTACTTTTTTCAATAACTACCAGCTAAGGTAATAGAGTTTCGAAAATGTTTGAGAATAAAAAGTACTAGAATATAAAAAATAGAGAAATAACTGTCAATATTCAGAGACATGGGGGAAATAACTAAGCAAATGAATATAGGTTATTATTAATGAAAACTACTGCCAATATTCAGAGAACATGGGGGAAATAACTAAGCAAATGAATATAGGTTATTATTAATGAAAACTACTAAAAGTATAAGGAGATATTCATAAACAACAGACCCGACTGCCAAAGTGGTCTTTCAAGCTGAGGTCGGCCATGGGGTTCTCAAAAAGACCCATTTGAAACTTGACTCTCAGTATCCTTCTTACAGCGTCATCAATCCGGCTCATTGGGATGGACTTGCTGTTGACTTGGTCAGTTAAATCATTAATAAAATCGGTGTAGTTATAAGGAACCATGATCTGTCAATGAAAGGAAAAAGTCAATTATCAATAAAAATTTCTGCACAAAATTTTATCATCTTTGTCTAGGATTATTCTAGGAATATATCTAGAGAAATATGAAGTAATAAATCTTTCTATCAAAGAAAATGCACTACCAAAATAAAACAAGGGAAAAAATGTTCTAAAACTCTAGATACTGGTTTGATTTATCTGCGCAATTCAATCCATTTTCACACTAGCTAGTGCATGCAAGGAAAGTCGTGTAAGAATTGAACTTCCATTTCCCCATTTAATGTATTCATAAGCACAATGAATTTTAAAAATGGAAAAGTATTGGGCACTGACCATGTCAATACCGGCATTGACGCCAGCATGGACAGAAAACATATAGTTGGAGCCAGGAGGACTTGTAATGCGATCAATACCTTGCCAATCAGAGATGACAAAACCCTGAAACTCAAGCAAGAATTAGATTAGTCAAGATCCATATGAGTGAGCAAATCAAATGAGCCACAAAACATTCAAACCAGACAAGTGACATATCTGCCCAATGTACTTGAAACTGTTTCCCAGATACCCCGAGCTCTTAGTAATCTAAGCTTAACGTGTGTTGATGTATCAAATTGGGCAGCTGGTTCTCTCTCTCTTTTTTTTTTTTCGTGAGGTGGTGGGGTGGTATAAGATTATTCTATGTGTATTGAAAAAAGAATTTATTTGGAAGAAAGACAAGGGTTTCAGGTATGTTTTTACTTATTGCCAACGCAGGTTTCCAAGCACAGAGAGATGGGTTCAGGTTAATGTTTTGTTACTCTATGCTGTTTCCAAGCACAGAGAGATGGATTCAGGTTAATGTTTTGTTACTCTATGCTGTCGATTAGGTTTGCTTAGAAAGAAAAGCGGGGGAGGTGGCTCTTACCCTGAAACGAAGGGTGCTTTTGAGTAAACCAGTGACCAATTTGCGATTGGAATGCATCTTGACCCCATTCCAGCTAGAATATGAAACCATCACACTTGAGACTCCTTTAATTATGGCTCGATAGTAAGGGCGCAAGTGTATGGAAAGCAAATCATGGTAATCAATTACAGTGTTGTTCTCGTCAATGCCTCTGACCGTCCCTCCATCACCCACAAAATGCTTGGCAGTAGCCGCAACACTTTGCCTGAGCAACAACATCATGTGAGTTAATACAATGAATACATTTGACTTCAGAAAAGAAAAAAACAGATACATTTCTTTATTTCTTTATGCAAATTTTCTTTTAATTTACAGAAACTAGCAGACCAACTAAAACTCTGACCTACTTTAAGCTTAAGAATTTATTAGGTTATTCATTTATTGCATACTTGGTCTAAGATGGTAGACTTACTTTCCAGTCACAAAAGGGGTTCCCTTCTGAGATGGTTCTCCTCCTTGCAACCCCACAATTACCTCAGTCATTGCCTCAACAATTTCGGGATTCTCACTGAAACTCTCATAGCATCGACCCCATCGAGGATCTCTGCAAACCTAAATAAAAACAAACTTTTATAAAATCTAAAGCTTTGATACCCAATTCACAACATAAACTTTTCGGGATACATGCTACAAGCACCAACTATCATCTCTGTTCACATGCAAGCAGGCATAGATACGTACGCTAAACACATGATCATATGCTAATAATAACATTGGATTATAATGTTTGGTCACATCTTACCGCAAGGCATGGTGCAAAAACATAAGGAATGCCAGTTGCTCGGACTTCCAAAGCGGTTGCAACACCGATCCTCTTTGCCAGCTCAGGGTCCCTATATAGTCTCAATTGTTACTATAGAAACAAAACCAAAACCCGGATTCTTAAAAGTATTTCAATATTAACTCTTTCATTAATTCTTCAAAAACAGAAAATGAAAAGAAGTCCTTTTACAATGCTGGAGTAAAGCAAATATGCAAGTTTAAAGCTCGAGCTATCTAAAAAACATTGCAAAGTCTTGAGTTGCAATTACCAGACAACAATAGAACACTCAAATGTACAAGCGACAGTCCGAGAACGAATGTTAAAGTCCAATTACAAATTTGTAGCTCATTTCTTCCAACTTAAAACCAAACTTACCTGGTAGCTCCAAGACCAATATTGTGAGGGAATATGGTAGCCCCATAGACATTATTATGGCCATGAACAGCATCAATTCCATAGATCATAGGAATCTGTAGACGAGATGATAATGCACCTTTTTGAAAATCATTGACCATATTAACCCAATCTTCAACGGTGGCATTAGGTTTAGGAATACTCCCCCCTCCACTCAAGACGCTTCCTGTGGGCACAAAAAAAAAACCATAAAATAAAAAACAAGAGTTTCTCCAAGCATCAAATTAGAGTACTCTTTCCTCACAAAATCAAATCCCTATTAGTAATGAAAATAAAATGCACACTGAGGATCTTCGCTCCTGGCTTAGTGGTTTAGAGAGAGAGAGAGAGTAATTAGAAGAGAGTGGTGCTCACAGGTGCCCAAATAACAAGATCCATAAAAAACTTATTACACCATAGAATATAGAAAAAAAGGAGTACCTATTGAATAGTTCTTCATCACATCTTGCGTTGCAACTGAGCGATCAATTTGGGTCATTTGTCCAATCTTTTCAGCAAGAGTCATCTGCTTCAAAAGATCTTCGATACGAGATTGAAGAGGTGCCTTGGGATCTTTGTACGTCAAAGTGGCTGATTCACTTGTTACCACCAAACATATAAACAACAGAAGTCTGATACAAATCTTTTGAAGCTGTGCCATTTTTTGGGTCTTCTGTTGATTCACAATCGAATATAAAAAAAAAATCTCAGCGTATGAATAGATGAATGAATATTTTGAAACATCGATTAACCAGGTAAGAAATGTTTTGAGTTTCGTTCTCCAGACTTTTATATACCTGAAGAATTGGCCAACAACAGTTCAACAAACAAAAGAAGATCAGAAAGGAAAAAGTGAGCTCTATAAGTCTACATACATATTGGAGTTATGCAATATTCAAAACTTGGGCAGCCCAAATCCTTACTACAAATAGGGGTTATTTCTTGACATGCATACCATCAAATCTCTCCCCATAACTTTGAACTCAATTTCTTTTGATTTGGAACTCGCTTCTTATACAGGAGTGTTTTCTTTTAATAAATAACTTCCCTTATAATTATGGTGTTTTACTCTGTCATGAAATTGAGCCTTACATAGGCCAGAGTTCAATGTGAGGTACTCAAAAAGAAAAAGAAAAAGAAAAAAAAAAAGATGAAAACAGGAGCTTTATAAATTATAAGTTTAAATAGATTGTGAGGAATGAAAGAGGTGTTATTTTATTATACATTATTGATCAGGAAAAGGAACAGCCTATATTCAGCTTCAATACTGGACTTAGCTTGTTTCATAAGTCATAAAAATAAGAAGCATGATTACAAGCAAATGCAAGAGCTAAACACCACTATTCATGGTGCGTCCTCCATAATGTTGAAGAGAAAAGGAGAAATTTTTTTATATCCTTTATATGAATCAAAAGCTTTGAGGTGATTGCCTAAGCATGATTTCTCACTGTCAAAAATAAAAATCATGGTTTCTAACTATGGCAAATGATCTTGATATTTTTGTAATAATGGACTAGACAAAGCAACTAGTTTTAGAACCTAATCAATGTATGAACCTGAGATCCCCAAAGCTAGATTACCAGAATCCTAAACTAAGATTACTCCAGTAAGGAGAACTGAAATTAAACAGTATATGAAGTTTTTATTTGATAATCAAAGTACATTATATGTAGTTATATTGGCTACTTCATCAATATTAGTATAAAAACAATAAAATACAAAAAAGTAAATAAAATACTGATGTTTTTGTCTGACAATCAGAGTAAATTCAATTCTCCATTTCATTGCTTTCTCCTCTCTCTCTCCAAAACTCATGCAAAATCAGTCTACTAACAGAGAGCAATAAACTCATAGAAATATGCCTTCATATAAAAACCAGAGCACGAAAGCAAGATCACTGTTAGTAATGCACAAATGTGCGTCAACAGAAAAACCCAAAAGCCCAAGAGAGAGCTTAGAGTAAAAGCATAGAGAAAACAGAGTGCTTAGCCCAAGTGAGAGAAAGAGAGAGCTTACACTAAAAACCAAGAGATAAAGAAGAGAGAGAGAGCTTAGCCCGAGAGAGAGAAAGAGAGAGCTTGCAATAAAACCCAAGAGAGAAAGACAGAGAGAACTTATACGTCCTTTGCCTCTGCAATGGGGAAAAAAGCTCACAAACCTTTAAGTCAAGGATAATGCTTTTACCTCAGAGAAAGCATCTATAGAGGGAAAAAAAGGAAGGGAAAAAAGAAGGCCATGGGCGCATCTCTTTTATCATAGTAAAATATCTTTCAGCAAGCAAAATTACAATTATACCTATTATAGTTTACGTTATTATCGTTATATAAGGTCGATTATTATCACGTCAAAACGAAAATTTAACCAAAAATAATTTTATTTATTTTTTGTTATTGAATAACCAAATTCAAAGTATTTTCAATTATTCAATAACCAGGCCAATTTCATTTTTGGATAACCAAAAATTTAAAATTTTATGTTCTTTAACAATAAATTTTTTTTTTCTCTCTTATAGGTTGTGTATCCTCTTTCTATCTCTCTCCCTATATCACATGGATAAAAATAGTTTTTTTTTTAAACTCTCTTCTAACCTCCTAATCTCATAATCCTTAAGATTTTTCCTAAATTTAAGGGTTCAAACTAGTTCCCTTGATTTTATCGGATAACTATAATTTAAAAAAGGTCGAGAGAGAATACGCCCCAAGATTTTCCCTAACTTTCTAATCTTATAATCTTTAATATTTCTCCTAAATTGAAGGGCTCAAACTAGTTATTCCCCTTTAATTTTATCGGATAAATATGATTTACGGGTTGTTCCTTTTTGATTTTATAGGATAAATATGATTTACTAGTTGTTCTCTTTTGATTTATTGGATAAATATGACTTCTGAGAGATAGAGAAAATACATCAAGAGAGAGAACATTTTTATGTTCGTGACGAACAGAAAATTTAACAATTCTTCAACAATAAAAGATTTTAAATTTTCGGTTCTGAATTGTAATTAGTGTATTTTCTGTTCAATAAATAAAATAAATAAAATCATTTCTTTTTTTTTAATTTCCGTTTTGAAATGAAAAAACTAACATTAGAAAGAATCTTAAATAACCGAATGGGTAACTTCCAATAAACTCTTAGTCCGTATTTCTGTCTCTTCAGATATATCCCTGCTTCTCTCTCTTCAGGTAAACTAGAGAGAGAATCTTAAATAACCAAATAGGTGACTTCGAATAAACTCCTTGTCCGTATTTCTCTCTCTTCAGATAAGTCCCTGTTTCTCTCTCTCCACATAAACTTCATTGCTGTTTCTCTCTTCAGATAAATAGGGTTTTATGTGTCAACTTTGCTATTTTTAAACTTACCCCAGGAACTTCCAAATTTCGGAAGTCCTTCTGATGTGGAACCCTAATCATTAGGGGCGGCCATGGACCCGGACCGGAGCCCAACCTAGGATCTAATGGGTAGACCGGATTTGGGTCCCACTCTAGGTCCAAATATTAGACCCGATGGGTCAGGTCCAAGTCTAAATTTTGGCTCCGAACACTGTTCGGGTCCATGTCTAAGTCGAGATTGGAGTATGAGTCTGGTAATATTTTTCAGATTGCAATATATGAAAAATATTTGAATATAGTTAAATACATAGATATTTTAACTTTTGCGTCGGGTTTGGGTCCTCCATTACATTTTTAGGTTTAGGTTTGGGTTTGGATCCAGTGAATTTGGGTTCGTTTCGGTCCGCATCCGAGTTCAATATCATTTTTTCAGGTCCAGGTCGAGTGGACCCGACGCGACCCTTTGCCACCCCTACTATGCAGGAAAGATCATTGGTATTTCGGAAAAAGCATGTCATAATTGCCTTTGGCAGTTGATGTGAGATCTGAGAAAGCTTGAGAAAAAATATACATGAGTTTTGAGCTTGATTAATAACACACCCCTAACCATCCGATCTCACATCGAATGATTATAACCTTGTTGTACTAAACGTAAATGTTTTTGACATAGACATATGTCTGTCTCTTTTTTTATAAGATGATTCATATGTAGTTTTCTTTGAAAGTTGAGATAATCCATATGTAGTTAGGGAAAGCAATTAGGTTTAATGATTAATTACTCATTTTCTATTTACCCTCAAAAGACGAGTACAGAGCCTTCAGGTTGCATTGTTCAATGGCATGTTTGTTTGGAGGAAGTTCTAGTTTCCAAAGCTGAAACGTCTAAAGTCTAAACGTTTCGACTTCATAGACGGAAGGGGAGGCTTTTATATTTTTCCTTTCGACTTCATAGACGGAAGGGGAGGCTTTTATATTTTTCCTTACTTTCGGAACTTCTGGTTCAAAAAGTTGGCGAAAAAATAGAAGTCATCCCTTCCATGCCCTTAACAGAGTAAAAAAGTTGGAAGTTTTGGCTTTTAAGGCTAGAACTTCTTCCAGACAAACATGTCTTTAGAGATACTATATGAGTTTCATGACTTTTTCAATTACCCTTGGGAAGGGGAATTGGGGATTATTTTCTCCTATAGTAATTTGTTGTTTCATAACCTTTGGGAAGGGGAATTGGGGATTATTTTCTCCTATAGTAATTTGTTGTTTCATAGAGAGTTTAAATATGAGTGCCATTTTAAATAGGAAAAAGATTATATGAAAGTGAGGCCCTAAACATTTCAAAAATTCATTAGAAGAGGTTGTTTTCATGCTCAAAAATCCTCAAATGAATCATCTCTACCTCAAGATATATGAACATGAGAAAAAAATGGATTTTCTAGTCTTAAAAATACTGCATATAGTAATGCATTTTCTAGACAATCAAATCTCAAGATTTTCAAGTGTTCATAGATTTGCTCAATCTACATTATTTTTTAAGCTTTAAACTTTATAATTAGAGATAAAAATAAAATTTCAAACTATAACAAAGTTTTTCATTAGTAAAACAACATCTTTCGACACCATTTGAAGGAGTCCCTTACTTTAATTATTTAGAGCCTCAGCTTTATACATGCTATACCTTGTTAAACATGGAATCTTTTAGGTTACCTTACATTCTCGCCATCCTTGCTCATAAGAAGGGTTAAAATGTATTTATATTCACCTAATCTAGTCTTTATTAACATTAACCTTTTTATCTCTTAATAATGAAAATTTTATTAAATAAGATCTAAGATTTGAACTATTTAACCATTTACCCATATTTTATGTTCTAATATTAATAGTGGAAAATTGATCAAACCACATCTACGATTTGAACTATTTAACATCTATCCATATTTTATGTTCTAATTTCACACTGCCAATCATTCTTTTGATCAAATTTGGAATAGCCCAAATGAATTTTGAAGTTTATTATATTATACATAGGATAAAATATTAAATAGATAAACTTTTGGATACATTATGATGAATTCCCTTTTAGTAATCTAACGTCTAATGTTGTAATTCAATGTGACTCTCAATGTGAATACCAATAAAACCCTTTCATTATCTTACCGAAAGAGAAGGAATGACCTCCCTGGGCGAGCTTACTGATATGATGGTTGAGAGTGAAGCCACAACAAAGTTATATATATGGGGTGCGGTTTGTATAGAGCCTAGGCTCTAAACAATCAAATTAGAGCCTACCTTCAAATAGTGTCGAGAAATATGGTTTTAATATTGAAAATCTTTGTAATAGCCTTAAAATATATTTTTATATTCATTTATAAAGTTTAAAGCTTCAAAAATAGTATAGATCGACAGATCTATGAAAACTTGAAAATCTTGAAAATTGAGGGTCCAAAGGCGCGTTACAAAATACACTATTTTCAAAACATGAAATCCATTTTTTTTTCAT